ACATGAATCCGATGACCCGCTCGGATTAGCAACATGATCTGCGGGCCCCATAGGGAGGGGGTTCCCGCCTGACGCGTCTTCACAATTCACTCACAGACGAGGTTCCCGCTTGATACTTCTTCCAAATTCAGACTTGAGGAGCCCAAAAGTGACGACAGTTACAGGAATCCGATGACCCGCTCGGATTAGTAACATGATCTGCGGGCCCCATAGGGAGGGGGCGCCCGCCTGAGACTTCCTCGCAATTCACTCACAGACGAGGCTCCCGCTTGATACTTCCCCCAAATTCAGACTTGAGGAACCCAAAAGTGACGACAGTTAGAAGAATCCGATGACCCGCTCGGATTAGTAACATGATCTGCGGGCCCCATAGGGAGGGGGCTCCCGCTTGAGACTTCTTCACAATTCACTCACAGACGAGGCTCCCGCTTGATACTTCCTCCAAATTCAGACCTGAGGAGCCCAAAAGTGACGACAGTTACAGGAATCCGATGACCCGCTCGGATTAGTAACATGATCTGCGGGCCCCATAGGGAGGGGGCTCCCGCCTGAGACTTCCTCACAATTCACTCACAGACGAGGCTCCCTCTTGGTGGATGATGGTGATGGGATGATGACGACGGTGTTTGATGATGATATATGATTGATGATGATGGTGGTGATGATGATGATGATGATGATGCTGAGGATGATGATGGTGGTGGTGGTGATGATGCCGACGTGATGATGATGATGGGTGATGATGAGTGCTGATGGTGAGTGATCGTGCGATTCTGATGGTAAATGGTGGTGATGATGATGGGGACGAAGTGGTGAGTCAGCGAGTAGTGATGATGAGAATGATGATGATGATGATGATGATGATGATGATGATGATGATGATGATGATGATGATGATGATGATGATGGTTGTGATGATGATGATGATGATGGTGATGATGATGATGATGATGATGATGATGATGATGATGATGATGATGATGATGATGATGATGATGATGATCGTTGGATGCCGATGATGGTGAGTGATCGTGCGATGGTGATGGTGATGCTGATGGTGATGATGATGATGAGTGGGGAGTGATGGTGATGGTGATGATGATGCGGAGGAGGAAGCAAAGAGGAGCAGAGGAGAGGGAGGAGGACGAGAGATCCTGCGCGGAGGGTGTCCAGAGAAAACAAGAACCCCAGTTAGGATGGGGGGGAAAAACACAGGGAATGGACGTCCGAGCGATGGCCAGGAGGAGCGTCACGCGTCCTCACCTGTGGGGGCAAATCGGCCAGCGGTGCCAACAATGCAATGTCGGCTCGGGGTGGGCGCCGGTGCCACGATGCGCAGGTCCAGTGCCCGCCCGCGGGCGTGGAAAGTGTCGCAGCGCAGCCACGCAAAGCGGCGGGCCACCGCCCCGCCGCGGTGCGCCACGCGGCGCCCCTCTCTCTCGCGCAGCCAGCGCCCTTGGTCCCCCCCCCTCTTCCTCCTCCTCCTCCTCCTCCTCCTCCTCCTCCTCCTCCTCCTCCTCCTCCGCCTCCTCCTCCGCCTCCCCCGCCTCCGCCGCCGCCTTCTCCTCCTCGATTGCCAGCTTCTGCCGAGACGATTTCGATGCGGAGGTGCAGAGGCTCATTGACTTGGCGGAGGGGTGCATCGCTGAAGGCATGGACGAGTCTTCGGCCAGTTGGGCCAGGTGGGCCCAAGATGCGTTCGTCAAGGGAGCTGGCAAGGCACACCGATACTCCAAGATTCGTGAGCTGCAGGAGGTCGCCGATGACAGGGGTGAGGCGTGCCATCCGTTCGAGCGCGTGGACGAGTGCGTAGACGAGTGGCAGACCATATAGAATCTACATGGCTGCTCAGAGGTGCCGCTGCCCGCCGACGCACATGAGTGGCAGTTGCTCGAGCCTCTTTCGGTCCAGCAGATTCGAGACGCATTGCGAGGCTTCAGGTCGACGGCGCTGGGCCAGGTGAAGCTGCACCCGCGGTCGCTCGACGTGTGCTCCGACGTGGCGCTGGAGACGCTCGCGCTGCTGTACGCCACCTGTGAGCGCCTTCTCTGCTGGCCTTGCAACAGAGTGCAGTCTCGGCTGGTCAGGCTGAGCAAGCCCTCTGGAGGCCATCGTCTCATCGCGCTTTTGAACACTCTAGTTCGTATCTGGGGACGGCTGCGTCGGCCGATCTCGCAATATTGGGAAGCTCGGAATCGACACCCCGCATTTGGGGGGAGGGGGCCCGCCAGGAGCTCTTCCGATGCTGCCTTTGCTCATAATGTCGAGGCGGAGGTGGCTGGTGCGGTGGGGGAGTTTTCAGTTTCGGTTCTGATCGATCTGTTTTAATGCTATAAGTGCATCATAGTAGCCAAGTTGCTGGAAGAAACACGTGCCCTCCAGTATCCCTTGCGAATGCTTTGGATGGTCTTGTGTTCTTACCGTTGTCCCAGGGTCGTCCAGGCGTTCGGGTCTTTGAGCCTGTCCGTGGTCACCAACCAAGGGATTCTGGCTGGGTGTAGTCACGCCAACACGATGATGCACCTTTTCTTGCATCGCGTTGTGGCGAGATGTTGCGAATTGCTCTATCCCATCATACCTCGCATCTTGATGGATGACGCTAGCTTCCAGTGGATAGGCAGGGATTTGAAGCAGTCAGGGCCCTTGATGGCCGCCGCCCAGTGGTTCTCCCGCAAGGCCTACGGTTGTGGTTTCATTTTGCAGGTGGCCAAAAGTGGTTTTGTGGCCTCGACGGCCCGTGCTGCGACCAAGATCGGCTCGACGGCTAAACTCATCCGCTTGAAAAGCCATCGGCACATGCGAAACCTGGGTCACGAGGTTTTTTTTTTCAGGCCGCCCGCTGCGTGTACAGGAGCGCAGGCGGCTAAAGGGGGTGCTGTCTCGCAGACGCAAGCTGCTCGCGCTGAAGCGTGGAACCCCTGGTAAGGTCGCCGCCCTCTGGCGCGCGGGTGTGCTCCCAGCGGGCGCTCACGGCGCGGGCGTGTCTGGCGCCACCGACAGCACCCTCATGGACTTACGCACGCTCGCTGGCTCGCTAGTCGGTGCTAAGCGGTCAGGTCCCCTCGCTGCTTGGCTAATAACGCAGCGTGATCAGTATTTCGATCCAGTGTTTGACGCTTGCGTTCCGTTGATTTTGAGATACGGTTCCATGATTTGGGATATCAAAAGAGCCTGGCTTGAGATTTCGTGCCGTGTTCAGGGCGCCCAGTCTTGGAAAGTTTGTAAAGGTCCCGTCTCAGCCGTTTTGCTGGGCTTGCGACGAGTAGGCTGGTGTATGCGGTCGGCCCACCTTATCGAAAGTGATGAGGGGCACGTGCACAACCTGCTGCGCGAGTGCCCGCGTGATGTGCGTGCTGCGCTGCGCCTCGGTATAGCTGGGCGGCAGGCAGGCCAGACGCATGCTCCAGCACGTCCCCGAGGCGACTGGTTCCGAGGAGATCTGGGTGATGGGGGCTTCGTCACGGTGTATTGAACATCTCGGACCAGAAACGCCAAGGGGCTGCGATGTGGCCTCCTGCCCGTCGGAAAGCAGCTGGTTACAGCAACTGCTCGGACTGCCAGTTTTGTGGCAAGAAAGACGCTGGGACACTGGGCCACCAACTTTGTGATTGCGAACCCGTGCTCGATTGCCCTCGTCAATTTGATTCATGTCGTCCTGATGACGTCGTGGAATGGACTTGCGCAGGGCCAAGCCTTGCATGCGGACATCTGGCGCAGCATTTTTGATCTATTTCTGGATGGTCAGGCGCGTCCCACCCCCCCGTGGATCAAAACCCACAGAGAGTGGGACGATATCTTGGACCTTTCCTCGGCTCAAGCAGTTCTGGATTTCCCCGGTAACATCTGGGCAGATGTTTTCGCCAGGTTGGGGTCCGAGGGCCACGCGGTTGCCACTTCTGTAGCCGATGCTCAGCAGCATGTAGCCGACATCAGGAACGACTTCGACTTCCTGAGTCGGTTCGCCCAATCGATCGCTTTGCTTTCATCGGGTCCCTCGACCCCTGATGCCCAGCCAACGTGCCGTCAGTATACGCCTCGAGCCGTGTTGGTGCAGCACGAACTGTTCCACTTTCCTGCGAAGGGCGAGTGGAGGTGCAAGCAGTGTAATTTGTGGGCGCGCACCCACGACTCTCTGCTTCAGCTGCGGCCAGGGGGTCGGCGCGAGTGCAAGCCCACTGCAGTGCAGGCGTTTCAGGCAGAGGAGTTCTGTCAGGCCCACGGGGCCAGTGCCGCGCCTGTCAGGTCGGAGGCGGTGCAGGAAGCGTTGTCGTTTGCCAGTGTTGTCCTTGGGCCCGCTCCTGTGCCTGCGCCACCTCAGCCTGAGGCGCATCGCCACTGGAGAGACCTCGGCCACGCCGTTGAGCGAGAGGGCCGAGTGATTGATTGCTCTCTGTGCAGTGCACACTTGATATTGCCCGATGGGCGCGCGCGTGGACTTAGCCTCCGATGTAACGGGCGCAGTGTCCACGCGAGTACCCGATCGAGCCAGGCCCTAAAGATAAAATATGCTTCGCGTGGCCTCCATCCTCGGACTGGGCAGCGACTGGAACCCCGCAGCGCTGCCCAGCCTGTCGACCCGACCGCCCCTGCTGCCGCCGCCAGTGCAGCAGCACCGTCCTGCCCGCAGGCTCCCGCTCGCGTCGCCGCTGCCCTCCGATTGGAGGAGGCGGCCCTGTCTGGAGGGGAGCTGGGTGGGGACCTCGGGGTGGAGTCGGGATCGGACTGATGCAACTCGTTTTGCTTTCAGTTTTTGGGGAGGCCGTTCCAATGCCTGACAACATGTGACGGCCCCCCTCCGATACTGTCCGCCTGGCCGTGCCAGGCGAGGAGCTCTACCTGGCTGGTAGCCAGGCCGTGCTCTCCCTTCCTGTTCGGCCCGCCCGTTCGTCACAGACTTGTGCGCGTTGGCCTCGAGCCCTCGAGCCCTCGAGCCCTCCTCCTCCTCCTCCTCCTCCTCCTCCTCCTCCTCCTCCTCCTCCTCCCTTCCCCGCCCCCGCGAGGCCTCCAACGCGGCGGCGCTCTGAGGCGGCGCGGCTTCGGGCAGGCGAGAGGCCGGCGCAGCGGGCGCGCACAGGTGGGCGAGCTCCTCCCCGCCGCGAGGTGCAGGGCGGGGCAGGGCGGGAGGACCGACCGCAGCCGGGGGAGCTGCGCTCCTCCACCATCGTACTTGAAAGGAGGAGGAGGAGGAGGAGGAGGAGGAGGAGGAGGAGGAGGAGGAGGAGGAGGAGGAGGAGGAGGAGAAGGAGGGGTAGGAGGAGGAGAAGGAGGAGGAGGAGGAGGAGGAGGGGGAGGAGGAGGAGGAGGGCCTGCCTCCCTCACTGCCCCCTGAGCCTCCTCTGCTCCCTCCTCCAAGGGCTCCTGTTATCCATCCCCTCTCTCTTGGCTTCCCCTTCTCCTCCTTTTCCTTGCCCTCCTCCTTCTCCCCGCGGTCATGCTTTGACTTGGCGGCGCCCCCAGTGACGATCGAACGTGTCTGTGCTCGGAAAACCACGACTGTTCAAGGTTGACCGATCCACGTGGTGTCAGTCACCAATGCGTAAATCGTCACGACATGAACTTGCCGCAGCCCTCCTTGAGGGACGCATCGGCTGCACAGAGATCGTCGACATGAAAATGAAAACAGCTCACCCAGCTGAGGCTGCTCGGTTTGAGAGGGGGAGGAGGAAAAGAAAGAGTGGGGCGAGGAAGAGGAGGATACAATATCGCCAATCGGCATCAACATAGACACCATGGGTCGCCGAGGACTGCTAGAGTCAGCGCTGGACGAAGGGATGCGGGTGCCTGAACAGCGAGCGCAAGTGCTCTTAAATGCTGTTGCGCGAAACAGCATGGGTAAGAAAGACGGACAACAAAACCGTGTCGATGACACGCCGTCGTTAGGAGCCCGTCAGCGTGTTACTCTCTCGCTGCTCTCTGAAGGCACGGTGGATCTTCTACCGTAGCACGGTGATGGCTCCCCACGGCGGCGTGTCTCGTGGATAGCATTTCGCTCCCCCCAGCAGGCAGGAGGAGCAAGAGGAAGAGACTGCAGGTGAGGCAGGAGGAGCCGCCCCACCCTTCCCTCACGGGCTCGGCGCGGGATGCCCGCGGCGAGGTCCGCCACCGGCGGGGCCCCGGGGCAGCCGCCGCTCGCCTCGCTCCGTCCCTGCCCTCCATCTTCCTCTCCCCTCTCTCTCCTCTCCCTCTCTCTCTCTCTCTCTCCCGCTCTCTTCTGCCCACTCGGCACCGAGGTGGTTCAGACAGCGGGTTGCGACAAAAGGGGCTGCGGCGCCCCCGCCGTGTCTGTTCAGGAGGGGAAAAAACAAACAGACACAATTCATCGTCGATTCCCAGGAAAATATGGGACAGAATGGGAAGTGGGGGGAAGACAGAAACCCAGAACATATGGGAAAATATGTGGAATTAGTTAATTTGTGTGTATTTGTGTGTGTGTGTGTGTGTGTGTGTGTCCTGGGGCCCCTTTATCTGTGCGGTCCTTGGTGTGTGCGTTGTGCGGTGCCCCGTCTGCGTGTCTCCGTGCCCGCTCGCCCCGCCGCGGCTCGAGTCTCGCCGCGGGTACCGCGGCGGCGCGGGTTGCCGCGCGCTGGCGGTGGCAGCGGCAGCCGCCGCAGGAGGCAGGCCACGAGGGAGGAGGCGGCGGAAGAGAGGGACGAAGTGGGGAGTCACCACCCACCAAACCAACCCAACCCAACCCGAAGACTCAGATTTACCCTCGATTTCCAGTGGGGGGGGGGGGGGCGGGAAACATAGAAAAAGCACATGTGGAGCCCATACCCCCCCCAACCCGAAATTCGGGTCTTCGGGTTGCGTTGGGGTGGTCTGGTAGGTAGTCAGGAGGAGGCGGCGGAAGAGATGGGCGAAGTGGGGAGGGCGCAGGAGGAGGAGGCGGGGAATGGGGGAGGAGGAGGACGAACGGCATGGAGAGGAGGTGGATGAGGACGAGGTGGAGGCAACAAGGGCGAGGCGAGGATATGGATGAGGAGGAGGGTAAGGATGGGAGGATGAGGATGAAAACGAGGATGAGGATGATGATGTTGATGCTGATGATGCTGGTGATGGTGATGGTGATGGTGATGGTGATGGTGATGATGATGATGATGATGATGATGATGATGATGCTGATGCTGATGCTGATGCTGATGATGATGATGATGATGATGATGATGATGCTGATGCTGATGCTGATGCTGATGATGATGATGATGATGATGATGATGATGATGATGATGATGATACTGATGAGGAGGAGGATGCTGATGGTGATGGTGATGCGGATGCTGATGCTGATGCTGATGCTGATGCTGATGACGATGATTGATGGCTGGCTATGACGAAGTTGTTGATAACAATGACAATCACGATACTGATCATGTTGATGATGTTGATGATGGTACTGATGATGGCAATACTGTTGACCATGATGCTGACGATGCTAACGATAATGCTGATGAGGCTGATGCTTATGATGCAGATGCTAATGATGATGCGGTTGATGGTGATGACGAAATGGTTATCATGATGATGTTGATGATGCTGCTGATCACGACGACGACGATGTTGCTGACGCCGATGATCAATTTGATCGTGATCATGCTGATGATAACGACGATGATAATGCTGTTGATGTTGTTGCTGGTGACGATGTTGTTGATGTTGATGACTATGGTACTGACGATACTGCTGCTGATGTTGATGATTGCACTACTTGTAGATTTGGGTCTCGAGGTTTTGTGAGGTGCCACTTGTCCGTAATCCTACGGCTCAAGTCGCGCTGCTTAGAGGTGCCCGTCCTCGATGCATTCAGGTTTCGCCTGGCTCGCCTCCAGCTCAGTTTCCATTGCTGGCGAGCCCAGCTGCCGCCGCGCCATCGGCTCGGCTGCCTATTCTTGCTTGACGGGCGTGGACCCCGCTCAGTTCTTCACGTCGGCCGCGTTCGGCCTCGGCGTGATCACGGGAGTTGTGAGCGTGTATTTCGTGAAGGTTGTTTCTCGGTGTGCGCGTTGCAGAGTGCGGGTGGCGTCGGGAGAGCATCGATTGGAGGCTCGGCTGGATGGCGGCGATCACTCTCGAGGCAGGGCGGAAGGTCAGTCTGTTCTACCAGCCGGACCCCCTCCCGGCGCCACCACCCAAGTGGAACGAGCGGGTCCTCCTCGAGCCGGCCTCGGAGATGGCGATGCAGAAGTGCACGGGCGAGTCCCTGTACAATGGGGGCATGGTCTGGTGGGTGCTCACCCCGGACGGGGACGTTTACCCGGAGGAGCTGGCGGCGCCTCCGCTGGAGGGTATCGCGTACTACGACGACGCGGAGGTGCCCCATCTTCAGCTGCAAGTACGTCCGCTTCCTCCGCCGGTGGCGGCCAATGCATACAGCTTCCGCGCAGACCGCCCAGCTGGACCTCCTACCCCGCTATTGGTGATGAGGGCGATCTCTGACGCGAGGGTTGAGCAGCATGCGCTCGACTCTGAGTCAGGCGCCGTTCGCGAAGGTCCTCCTCCAGCGCCAGCAGCTGGACGCATCATCTGGGTGATTGGCTCTTCGGCCGACGGCGACCCAGAGGCTGAGAAGGAATGCGTTTACATCCCAGGCGACATCACGATCGGCTTGGGCTCCTACTGGTTTGTCAAGCGAGGCGCCAAGTTTCTGATACTGCAGGAGGTGCTGCGGCAGGACACGGGTATGATCAAGTTGCTCCGGGATCAGGAGACCGATGCGAGGGTCATTCCTGTGAAGTGGAGGTCGGCTCAACAGCGCGGCCGCAACTTCCGCGAGGCCATCTCGCTCCAAGAGTTCCACGACTTCGGCGACTCACCGCTGCAGGGCGACGTGAGCCTCCCGTGGTTGCTCACCGAGGTTGCCCAGTCCGCCGAGGGGATGGTGACGCGCCACCACACGTGGCTGTCGGCTAGCGGCATCCCGAGCGGCGACCGCAGCATCCACGAGCACTTCGTGATCTCCAAGGTCTTCGACCTCGCGATCGAGCTGGACCAGTTGAACACGATGACCTTGACCTCTTTCGAGCTGCTCGGGCGACGCCTGCAGCTCATCGAGCAGGCCCACGTGTACAACCCCAGCAACCCCGACTACAGCAACTCGGACGACTTCATGGGCTGGGGCGTGCAGCGTGGTGCCGCTCTGGTGGCGCCTTCTATCAAGGAGCGGGCCGCCGACGCAGCTCGTGATCGGGCAGCAGTTCTGAAGGGGGGGCGGAAGCTCGACGAGGAGATCCGCTTCCGGAAGCCGAAAGGCCGTGGCCGTGGTGGTAAAGGCGGCGGAGAGGGAGACGGGGGCGCCGGCGGTTCCGGCGCAGGGGGGCCATGACCAGCTCCCAGGGCCCAGTCGCTCCCTATGGGACTCCGGCGGCTGGGTTCAAGTACGAGAAGGGGTCCCGTCTACCTTTACAAGTTCCTCGTGATCTCTTTCCTCTTCCTGAGCTCGAGGTCGAACATCTTCAAGATCACAGCGTGAGTCGCTCGGTACAGCGACGAGTTTTGAAGCGGAGCGCAGTGGATGCCGAGGTCAATCGCACGATCAAGGCCCTCAACGCTCTCGATGGCCATTTGACGCCGTCATCTTCCACGCCCTCGCAGTGTCAGCGGGAGGCCATTCAATTCATTCGTTCAGTGCATGACGCAGCCGAACCGCCGCAAGGTGACTTCGGCTCCGAGGGAGCCGTGCGCGCGCTCCTCGGGACAGACTCCGCGTACGGTGGCGAGTCGACCTTGGTGCAGTCCTACGACCGGAACCTTCTCAGCATCCCCCACGTGGGGGCGGAGCCCGTCCCTGTTAAGGAGATGTTGCCGCCGAAGGTTCGCTGTTGTCTCGAGGACCTGAACAACATTCTGCTCGATGATCAAGAGTGGGGCGCCGTGTGTGAGAAGGCGGACCCCATCAACCTCTACATGGATCCGAAGCTTCGCTACTCCAAGAAGGCCTATTTTCAGTTTGTCCGAGACTGTCATTCGGCAGGTCTTATCCGCTGGGCGCCCTTGGTACGCGGGCGAGTCACTGTCTTCTGTGTTGCCAAGAAGACGGGCAAGCAGAGGCTCGTGGTGGACTGCCGCGCCACCAACAGGCGCTTCCGGCGGTGTCCTTATTTACCTATGGGTACCGGCTCGAGCTGGGGAGAGATTCTCCTGGAGGACGACGCCGACCTCTGGGTGAGCCTGTCGGACATCAAGGACTACTTCTACGCCTGCGGCGTCGACGATGACCTCTCCAGCTATTTTTGCCTCGACGACGTCCCAGGTTGGCTCGTCTCCGAGCTGGAGGGCAACGACAGCCGCTTTAGCCATTTCTACGGGCGTGACGCAGTTGCGCCCGCCTTTCGAGTGCTGCCCATGGGCTTCAGCTGGAGCTTCTACCTGGCGCAGATCGTCCACTCCTCCGTCGTCAAGGGGGTGCTTCCGGACACCGCCGGACTGGTACTACAGGATCGTCAGCCTGGCCCGACGATTGGGTCCCGCGGCCTCGTGTCGCTGCCGTACTGCGACAACCATGCCACTGGGGCGGGCTCCCCGGAGCTTGCCGACGGCGCTCGGATCGCAGTGGCTCGCCAGCTCACGGCCGACGGCTTCGCCGTCCACGAGGAGGAGGACGCCTCCCTCTGGGCCGAGAGTCTCGGCTTCGCCATCGACGGCTTGACTGGCGAGGTGGGGCCTACGGCCAAGAGGGCCGCCCGTCTTGCCGCCGCGGGCCGCTGGCTTGCGCGTCGCCCGAAGATCACGGGCGTGATGCTTGGGCGCTTCTTGGGGCACTGCACTTTCCAGCTCATGGGCGAGCGCTCCCTGCTGAGCATCTTCGGTTCGTGCTACCGCTTCGTCAGGGTGCATTACAAGCAGAAGGTCCGCTTGTGGCAGTCCGCCGCGCGGGAGTGTGAGTGGCTGTCATCTTTGGTCCGCTTTGCTCGTACCAACCTCCGTCGGCCGTGGAGCCCCACTGCCCGCGTGTTCGACTCATCGGAGACAGGCCTCGGGATCGTCCAGGGCATTTTCGACGAGAAGCTCATAGCCAGCACTGGCCAGTACAATGGGCGGTGGCGTTTCAAGCAGCCCCATGCGCTCGCGAGGGGCGTGCGTGCGGGGGCTCTCTGGCACTTCCGAGATGTGATCGAAAATGCTGAAACAGTACTCCCTGTCGCACCACCGCCCCCTCGCCCCTGGAAGAGAAGGCGCGGGTCCCCGGAGGTCCCCACAAAGTTGCTCGAGAAGGACTCCTGGCACACCATCCTGTCAAAGCCCTGGTTTCGGGACGAGCACATCACCCTGCTGGAGGCCCGCACTGGAAGATTGGCATGCAAGTCTCTTGGGAGGTCTGTTGGAAACCGCAACAAGAAGCACCTCATCCTCGGGGACTCCATGGGCTCCATCTTGGCCTTCCTCAAGGGGCGCAGTGGGGACTATCGTATGCTGGGTTGTTGTAGAAGTGTTGCGGCTTACACGGTCGCCCTCAATTGCAAGTTCAAATGGCGCTGGGTCGTATCTGAAGTTAATCATGCTGATGCGCCTTCTCGGATGTTCGAACCCTCAGCCCCGAAGCGGGCGCGCCACGGACGTAAATATTTCCCTTCATCCTCTTCTACCTGTAACCACTTGGCTCACAGTGGGGAGTTTCCCACGATCGATGCTCCGAGCACCGACTCGGACGCCAGTTTCAACGAAGGCGGCGTCGGCTCATGTACTGAGGCCTGCGGGGCCCGCGGCCAACCGCAAGCGGCCCCCTGCGCCGCCGGAGGGCGTGCTGTCCGTCGTTACAGCATCGACGAGCTCATCGAGATCGGCCGCGCCTCCGGTGGCAAGCCTGCTTCAGCCGCCGAAGGACCACCCATCGGCGCAGCGGAGTCGCCGCCTTCGCGAGGGCCGTGCCAAGGCCCGAAGGGCGAGGCACGCAGTCCCAGCGGGGGGTGTTACCCCCGGGCCGCTCCTGCTCAAGAGAGACCCGCACCAGCTCAGTATCCTGGAGCAGGCGTCGGTGCAGCCCCAGCAGGCGGCCACGTACAGGACGACCTACGCCGAGTTCGTCAAGTGGGCCGCGAACGAAGGCATCCCACTACACTCGGACGAGGACGTGGACGCGGCGGCGGTCGACTACCTGGACGCGATCTACCTGCAGGGCTACGAGGCGTCATCGGGGGACAAGCTCCTCGGGGCCCTCAAGTTCATGAGGAGTGGCGGCCCTCGCCCTCTTGCCCTGCCGCTGACGCGGATGAGGAGGGCGCTGAGGGGCTTCCGCAAGTCCGCCCCCGGCGCCTCTCGCTTTGGGTTGCCCTGGGAATGGACGGCCTCCATAGCGGGGACCTTGCTGGCCACGAAGCGGCGGGATGCGGCCCTCTGCTTGCTGGCGGCCCACGATGCGTATTCCCGACCTGGGGAAATTACGGACCTGCAGGTTGGGGACGTAGTGCTGCCTGCGCCCCGCCTCCGGGGCTACCACCGCCTCTGCCTTGTCATGCGGCCGGAGGAGAGGGGGCAGCCGCGCAAAACGGGGAGCTTCGACGACGCTGTCACAGTCGAGGACCTGGACGCGCACATCTCGACCCACCTGGTGCAGCTGGCGAAGGGGCGGGATCCGAGCGAGAAGCTGTTCCGCCTGTCGATCAGCCAGTACAAGGACGCGTTCGAGGACGCCGCCGACCTCGTCGGGCTCGCCGCCGAGCAGCTCTGCACGCACCAAGCCAGGCACGGAGGTGCCTCGAGGGATGCCATGCTGAAGAGGCGCGACCTCTCCGAGATCCAGAAGCGCGGGGGCTGGAAGACGTTCAACTCCGTCAGACGCTACGAAAAGTTTGGGAAGGTGCAGCAGGCGATCAACCGCACGCCGTCGGACACCCTGGCCTACAGCCGGATCGCCGTGCAGTGCCTCGACGAGTGGCTCCATGGACGTTCTATGCATCTCACCGACCTCCTCGGACAAAAGGCCGCCGCCTAGTCGGAAAGCGGCGGAGGTCTTCGCAGGTTCCGGGAGGCTAGCCAAGGCGCTCGCACGTCGTGGAATTCCTTGTGAAGGTTGGGACATACTGGATGGACCGTCGTGTGACCTCACACTCTCAGGCGCACAGAAACGACTGATGAGAGGCATTCGCCGGCATAGTTATTGCCATCTTCACTTTGCGCTGCCCTGTCAGACCCTCTCGCGTGCACGGCGTCCCGGAGGCTCTGGACCTCCGCCTCTCAGGTCAAACGAGTTTCCCTGGGGTTACCCGGACCTGGAGGGCTCGGGCCTCAGCAAAGCAGCTGCCGCAAATAATCTCATTGCGTTTGCAATCAAAGCCTGTCGGCTAGCTGCGAAAAAAGGTATCACAGTTACGATCGAGAATCCTCTCGCGTCAATTTTGCGGGTAATTCCCGAAATAATACAGTTGCTTACAGAACTGCACTTTTCCACCGCTCGACTTGACTTCTGTATGTTCGGGGAACGCTGGCGAAAAGCCACAAAATTTGTTGGCGCTGTCCCTGGCCTCAGCTCGCTGACGAGAAAATGTACCACGTCGCTTTGTACTAGAACTAAGTTGCCCCACTGGGCGTTAGAGGGCAAAGACCCCACATGAGTTTTTTGGACAAAGCGCGCAGAACCCTACCCGCCCGCCCTCTGTTCACTTCTTGCCAAGACAATTGCCAGAGCACAAGAGGTGGGATAGGGCAGTTGCACTGTGCTCACTCTCGCTGCAGCAGGCTGACCAGACTCGCGGCAGCCCAGTGTATTTCAGTTGGTCAGGTATCCCTTTCTAAGCTCTGGCACCGGTGAAAAAACGTCATCGACCTTGCACTACTTGTAGATTTGGGTCTCGAGGTTTTGTGAGGTGCCACTTGTCCGTAATCCTACGGCTCAAGTCACGCTGCTTCCTCCTCCTCCCCTCCGCCTCCTCTTCACCTTTTTCAAAGGGCAGTTGCACTGTGCTCACTCTCGCTGCAGCAGGCTGACCAGACTCGTGGCAGCCCAGTGTATTTCAGTTGGTCAGGTATCCCTTTCTAAGCTCTGGCACCGGTGAAAAAACGTCATCGACCTGATTATGTCGACGATGATGCTGACGCGGATGATACTGTTAATGCTGATGCTGATGATGTTGATGATGTTGATGATGACGACGATGACGGTGATGATGGTGTGGATGCTGATGATGCCGCTGAAGACGATGATGACGATGGCGATGATGATACTGCTGAGGATTGCGATGGTGATGTGGAGATTGATGATGCTGGTGATGACGATGGTGATGATGATGATGAGGAGGATGACGCTGACGACGATGACGATGATGCTAATGTTGGTGATGATGTTTCGGATGCTGCTGCAGCTGTTGTTGTTGACCATTCTGATGATGATGATGATGATGATGATGCAGATGTGGGTTCTCCGATGGTGTTGATGATGAGTATGATAGTGCTGATGTTGTTGCTGATGATGATGCTGACTGATGATGATCCTGCTGAGGATGAAGACGATGATGTGGACATTGATGATGCTGGTGACGACGATGATGCTGGTGATGATACTGTTTCAGCGGCTGATGAGAATGATGAAGATGGTGATGCCGTTGATGCGGATGAAGGTGATGAGGAGGATGCGGATGAGTATGACGATGAGGATCAGGATCAGGATGAGGGTCAGAATGGTGATGCTGATTATGATGATGATGACTATGATGACTCATAGTGATGATGATGATGATGTTGATGATGATGATGATGATGTTGATGATGATGATGATGATGATGATGATGATGATGACGATGATGATGCCAAGGATGAGATGAGTATGAATATGAGGATTAGGAGGTATGGTTGGAGTAGGGAGGAGGTAAGAGGGAGGAGGGAAGAAGGAAGAGGGAGGAGGAGGAGGCGGAGGAGGACGAGGAGGTTGCTGGTGATGCTGGGGGATGGTGGTGGATGCGCCAGCATGGCGGATGCACAAGCAGGGAAGACAGAGATGGATGACGGATGAGGGAGAAGGAGGAGGGGTGAGGGAGAAAGACAGAGAGTGGGAGAGGAGGGATGCAGGATGAAGGATGAAGGAGGGAGGACGAAAGACCACCTCCCTCCAAGGAACAACGGGAGGCGGGGGGGAGGGGAGGGCGGAAGCACGAGTGGAGGGAAAATGGAGGGAGGAGGGAGGGAGAAGGGCGCGGGAGGAGGACTCCGAGGAGGTGGATGACCTGCAGGAAGGGAGGGCGCACTGTGTCGTGAGGGGCCAGCGGCCCGGGGCGCTGCCACGCAAGAGCGCCGTTCAGGCTCCCGGGAGCTGCCCTCGTGCGCCCCCCGCGCCTGGCAGGGGCAGCCCGAAGGGACTCGCCGGGCGCGCCGCGCGCCCGGCTCCCCGGAGCGCGGTGGCCCCGGGGGTCGGGCTCGAGGCTGCAGCGCGCTGCCCTGGCGCCAGAGGTCGCGGGCCCCTGCTCCTGCTCTCAAAGGGGGGCCTGGTGCGGCCTCGGGGGTCCAGCGGGGGCCTGCGTTTGCAAGGTTTTTGCAAGGCGTGCGTTTCAGGGCCTCTGGAGGTCTCGTCGTCGTCGTCGTCGTCGTCGTCGTCGTGGTGGTGGTGGTCGTTGTCGTCGTCGTCGTCGTCGTCGTCGTCGTCGTCGTCGTCGTCGTCGCCGCCTGGTGCACCATCTGCTTGCCGTGGGTCTTCGCTCGATGGGGCACGGCGTGCTTGGCGGGCCTGCCCGGCGTGCTGGCGCCGCCCGCGGGGGCGACGGCGGTGCCGCGCGGAGCGCTCCGCACTCTTGGCGGGGGCGTGCTCGGGCGCGCCCTGCTCCAGCCTGCGTGCGTGGACCTCGGCGCGAAATTGACGCATGCATGGAACACATTCCAGGCATGATATATACGTATATACGTATGTATGTATGTGTGTATATATATATATATATATATATATATATATATATATATATATATATACGTGCGTGTGTATATATATATATATGTATAGAAAGATAACACCCCGCAGTTGCGGATAACAGTGATGGGGGCGGGCACGGGCGACGCGGGCGTCGAGCCGGCGGACCGCGTGGCCCTCACGAGTGCAAAAGAAGCTTGGAACGAAAGCACAAGAAGCCCGCCGCAGGCG